GTTTGACTGCGTACCCGAGAAGTATATGACATAAGACTCACAACCCCCTTTCGTTTTTCTGCTTAGAGGCTAATGTAAGACCACTTATACATGTAGCTGTTACTTTCAAGTTTCTTGCCTCTTTTAAAAATACCCAATCAAGTCCCAGTTTAACAAAAAAAATTGCAAATATGCCGATCACAGGTCGATCACTGAGCATCCATTCTGCAACCAAAGCAGTGCTTGTGTCCCCTGTCTTCAACCACAGCTTGCACTGACCAACCTCCACCGCGTCCTTTGTGCGATTACTTTAAATATGTTCAAAACTTTGCGGTGACCATGGCGTCCTCATCGCGAACATTCTTCATACAATTTTAGAAATCACCGTGCCCCTTTTGAGTCGCCAACGGTGACCTGGTCAGTTTCATGGGCGAACAAAGGAGGCACAGTGGTCGCCTTCCTGTTTAAAAAGTGTTTAAGCAAGTTAAAGAATAAAACTTTTATCTACCGATTACTTTACTGTCAGTTTTAGTTTATTTCTGTCCTTAGGTCTTCAAATATTTAAATTTTACCAGTTTCACCCTCCTTGCGATAAGTTTCGTTTATTTATATGTCAACATTTACATACATGTACAGGTCATAAGGGGTCAACTTATGTCAAAGACAACAATTAAATTGATATTTTCGATCGATTACTGCGGCCATAAATGTGATTAACATGAGTTAGCCAGTGACAGTTAAAGGAACATGATAAATGTGAAGATGAAGGTTTAACTGGCAGGATTCATTACTACCTCATTATTGCGTGGTCATCAGATCGTTGTCAATTTAAACCATATACTTCACCATTATGGCTGTCTTTACTCATCAAGCAGGCAAATATGTGGGGGTAATGGACTTCAGCAATTAGTGATTATTGACATGGATATCTGGTATCGTATTTGGGCATCCTGTTGATTTTGAAAAGATTTCGTCCCTAAGATTTTAGAATGCAAAAATCATGCTACGTATGCACGTACCTGAAGATGAACCGTTATCAAGGATCTCGACTTTTGCGGATATTTGAGGCATTTCTTGTTGCTTTCCCTACGAAAGGTTTACACATTTTCACGTAAGATTGTATTTTACTATTATCTAGTACATTTGAAAAGGAAATAAAAATTAGAAGATCTGGTAAAAAAAATCGAGAAATTAAAAAAGAGTCGAAAGACAGCTTCTTTCCGTCGTTGCTGGGAAAATCCATGGGACTTCAGTACCAATTTTGGCTATTCTTGCAATAGGATATTTCACAGTCGACAAATATTTATAGTTTTACAATATCGCAACTCTCTATCAAGTTGACGTGTTGGGTTTTGCACCAGCTTGAAGCTAATTATTAGTGTGACTCTGCATTAGAAGTTGGTCAGATTCACTTACCAGTATTCTACACCTGGCTAAATTTCATGGTTATAGATAAGGTCACAGGCCAATAATCTGTGAAAAAAACAGTAAACCAGTTTAGAGCTATTTTTTCTTTTCTCACGAAACAAACTCATAGATTACTAGCAATCTGGATAGTTGATGTGGATCAGAAATTGTAGCAAATTCGTGGAATGTCGACAAATTTTTACTTAACTTTTTACATTAAAATGGTTAAAATACTTGTAGTCATGTATATGTTCGTGATCGTTATCTACCCTACCGAGTATAATTAGGGATTTCAAACTGTAGTCGCAAACCCTTTCCAAACCCACATAATTTGACTGATGTCAATTGTCGAAAAAGATAAATAATTACCTTGTAATTTCTTTCGTTGACAATTGACTGGTAGATAAATGGACATTAGGATTAATGGTCTCTGGAAAAGCGTTTATTGTGATTAATCACGTAAACATTATTACTCTATTTCATCTGAGAGTTTATAATGATAAGAATAATGGCCAGAAGAGATAAATCTTGTCGTTGTCAGTTTTCCTGTCTATTTAAACTTGACATTTGTATTTTTGCAGATTGATCTATAAACCGAATCGAATGGCAATTAACAATAAGAATATTACTTTGAATTATCACCTGGCTTCTGAGAGAGGAAAATGATGTCCAATTACACGTCATTTATCTACGTTTCTGGACAGCCTATTTATATTTTTGCAGCGAGTATCCACAGTCGTTACTACGATAAAGAAACTAGATGAAAGCAAGGGATGCCACGTCGCCATACCATGTCGCTTCGAACAAAGTTTCTTATGACTGTCTCACTGATAACAAATTGTCAAGGGATGTCGTCAGAATTGGGAAACTCTACCAGCAAACCCGGTACCGTAACGATATCGCCACCGACCGTCTCCCCGCTGACAAAAGATCGCTTCTCTTTTAAAAATCAAGAAGACAAGCTCCGTCCTGATCTCTACCCGTTAAACCTCATGCAGAAGATTCCTTTGAACAATGACACAACCGAACGACAAAGGTTTGTTGGCGTTCACTTTCAGCATTTTGTCCTAGAGGATTCGCCTGGCTGTGACAAGGACTACGTTGTAATTACAGAAGATCATGCCATTCTTTGGGGACCAGTATGCGGCCGCCAGGAAACCTTCTTGCGTGCCTTCCACGCGAACATCTTCAATGTCATGCTGCTTTTCCAACCAAGGGGGCACTTAGATTTGCTATTCAGCAGCGATTACGAGGTAGCTGCGGCGGGATTTACCGGGGATGTATTCCACATCTCTAATTTCTCATCAGAGGTCAGTTCACCATGTACACATTTCATCGGATTACAATCAGGTTGGATCAAAGCACAGTCAAAACTCTCTCAGTGTAAATTTTACCTAACTGCCCCGGGGGATCGCGTTCTAAATGTCACAATTCAAGTACCTGAAGAGGAAACGTGTGGCGATTTAACTTTTTATGACAATGATGAAGGCGTGGAAAAACTGTTGGGAAAACATCACGTGAATAGAACTTCGACAACATTTTCTATTCACGGCAACACGGACCAGATGGTTATTTCCCTTTCACCATGTACAGGTTTCCATGGAGATATTGTCGCAATCTACGATGCAATTCCCCGGGAGAGAGTGGAAAATAAACGTTGTTCTGACGGTTACACACTTTTTGAAGGTTTTTGTTACTCGTTTAAGAAGTATTCCAACGTTTCAACCTGGGCGGAAGCAGAACGAGACTGTGTAGCGGAGAACGCCCATCTTGCCAGTATCCAAAGCAGACGTGAGATGCGCTTCCTCAGCAGAATATCAAACAGAAATGGGGTTCTGAGTCCTTCCACCAACTGCAAAATGACTGGTGGTGTTTTTATTGGGTTACACTCGAGAGTAGTACTGTCAGGGGTAAGTCGATAAGTAATTACGCTCCTAAAATGCAAGAATTGTATACCTGTACCTTAGGACTTTACATTCCAGCAGGATTAAAATGTGTTCGTGGTAATATATCGAGTTTCCCATAGTGTATTCCTAGACGAAGTTATGTGTAAGTGATGCGGATATACCAGTGACTCCAGACAAACAGCCAGTATGGCTGCCTTTTCAAGTTGACACCAGATTTCACAAAGTTTTAGTGCATAAAATTATGTTTACTTTAATCGCATTTGAAACAATCTTGACAAGCCACATGCTAAATAAACAATGTATGTCATGTTTTTCATAAAGTAGCGAGACTTCAACGGAACAAGATCGGTATTACGCAAACCAATACTTTTTAATGTTTTCCTCCCATTTTCCTCCCATTTGTATAGTGAATGCAATTCAAATTTTCAGGGAACACCCTTACGCTGGACAGATAAAAATGCCCTTGTATATTCTGAGTGGTACGGACCAGTAAAGTATGGCTACAACGAGCTTGAAATCCCCCAACCCTTAAAGCCCGTTGTAGAAAAGACCCTATTACAACCACTAATAGAGTTTACTTTGGAGTGCACGCTAATGATGCCTTTTCCTCCGAAACGTGAACATTTCCATGGCAAGAGTCGGTGGTCAAATTGGGCAAGAATTCCATGTCAACAACCAATCTGCTGCATGATGTCCGTCTGCAAGAAGTCATCCAAGACGCTGAAAACAGATTCAAATCAATCAAAAAGTAATTTGCCAGAAACCAACACTTTATTTAAAAATGCAGTGATGCGTAAAGAGTCTTTCACACCAAAACATTACTGCCCCGAGAAATGGGTGTACATCAGCGGTCGGTGCTTTTATTTGTATCGACTTGATAGTTTCGGACTGCTGAATATATCCATAACTGATAAAACAAGATACGTCGCATATTCACAGTCCAGCCACTGGACAAAGGAAGGCAAGAACAGCCTCACTTTTAAAAGTGCAGTAGAAATGTGCAGCTCTTATGGAGGAGCAGTCGCAGTGTTCGATGCTTCTTCGTTTTCGGATAGTAAATACATGCGATATTATCATAGGATCTGGGCTAAAGAAACTCAGTGGGTGAACCAAAGCGCCATTTTAGATACTAGTGATAAACTTACCAATGTGAAAAGATTTTCGGAATTTGTTTTGCCTTGGTTCCGAACCCCATCAGGAAACTGTGCGCTCGTGTCAGTTGCAAGTGACGAGCTAATGTCCAACTCCGTCATGATAATGACTTCTGACTTGTGCTTGTCAGATGCGACACAAGGCTCCCTTTTTGCTCTCTGCGAGACGGCGTTGTTAACAGAAAAACAAGACTGCTCCACACATCAATACCGGTGTAGTGACGGGACGTGCATATCTGTCAGAAATGTTTGTGACGGGGAGAAGAATTGTCTGGGTGGAGAGGACGAATTTAACTGCTTTTGTGGTTCAGATAGCTTTCGCTGCACGAACGAATCGTGCATTCCTATAAGTAAGGTGTGTGATCGCGTCTATGACTGCACAGACGGAAGTGACGAAGATTGGTGTTTATTTCCTGTTTACAGTGATCAACATTACAGATGCCAAAATGGACAATGCAGCAACATATCCCTAATATTTGAAAGAAACCCTACTACTACTGAGAACCCTAACAGACACCCTCCGTCTCCTCGACATCCGGGGCCGTGTGATAACAGAGTCCAGTGCTTCGCAGGGCCATGCATGCATATTAACACTAAGGATGACAGGTACCCGGACTGCCCAGGTTTATCACAAGAGGATGAGCCCATCGAAGCCATTCCTTATGCCAAGGAAACCAGCTGCGAATCCAGCACATTCAGCCAACAAATCAACTTCACATATTGCCCATCTCTAGACCAAATCAGATGTACCCCTGGTCATACCCACTGCTTTCCTCGTCATTTGGCCTGTATTCACGATAAAGTGCAACAGAAAGCGTTAAATGATTGTAGACATTTTGAGCATCTTCAACAGTGCCAGACGTATGAATGCCCCAGTATGTTTAAATGTCCGAACACATACTGCATTCCATTGCGCCAGGTCTGCGACGGGGAAAAAGATTGTCCTCGCGGGGAAGACGAGGATAATGCAAGATGCACCAATTATACGTGTCCAGGACATTTTCGGTGTAGAGGAGAACGCCAGTGTGTGCACCAGAGTGAAGTTTGCAATGGTGTAGTGAATTGTAAACACTCGAATGACGACGAAGCTTTCTGTGACATAAATGCAACCTTATCCAATGGTTGCAAGCACAAAGGATACTTTTTGGACTGCACGGGGAAAAGATTAAGTTCCATACCTAAGTATTCTCCTGATATTAGGGGGCTGGATTTTGCCAGAAACAATTTGTCTCTTTGGAGTAAAGCGTTTAAAGGATACTTTTTATTAGTGAGACTCGATATCAGTTTCAACAATTTGAAAACGATTCCGCCTAGGGTATTCTTACACTTAAGAAATGTTTTATATCTAGATCTTTCGTACAATCGGATAGCAGCTTTTGCTTCCGATGTCTTTACTGGAATGATCAACCTTCAACACTTGATTCTTGAAGGAAACTCTCTGCAAATGATTGAACCCGGTGCATTTGAAGGCTTAGGAAGCTTAAGGATTTTGAACCTCAGCTTCTTTAATATCAACGTTTTGTCAAGAGATACTTTCAGAGGCTTGGAATCTCTTTCTGTTCTTAACATAAGCCATAATGCATTATCGTCCGTGGCAGACGGTGCATTCAGGGGACTGCCAAGACTTAAGGTTTTAGATATATCAGGTAACAAGGACGCTCTGGTAGAACCTGAGGCATTTGTAGAGCTTAGCGCAGAGACACTGAAGTCCGATCAATTTGGTATTTGTTGCCTGGCTCAGCGGAAGGGTAATGTTGGCGTTTGCTTTCCCCCAAAAGACGAGTTCTCCTCCTGCTCTGACCTGTTGCAAAATCAATTTCTGCAGGTGTCCATCTGGGTTATGGGAATTTTAGCATGCTTGGGTAATGCAGTCGTGCTCATATATTGGCTAAGATATAGAGACTCTGCTGCCTCTAGTATATTGGTCATGAATCTTGCCTTGTCGGACCTCTTGATGGGGGTTTACCTTGTCATTATAGCCGCAGCCGACACTAGCTACCGTGGTTTTTACGCCTCTCAAGCCACCAAATGGATGTCTAGTGGTCTGTGTAAATTTGCAGGATTTCTGTCCATGGTTTCCAGTGAAATGTCTGTGGTGATCTTAGTTTTGATCACGACAGATAGACTGGTGTCTATTGTATATGCCATGAAGATTCAAAAGATGGACACGAAGGCGAGCTTATTGATGACTGGTCTCAGTTGGGTCGTAGTTGTTATGGTAAGTACAGTCCCTCTTATTGAAGTCGGTTACTTCAAAGATTTTTACGGACATAACTCGGTCTGTTTGCCGTTCACGTTGAGCAGGGTTGAGTTCGGGGGCAGGGAATACGCCTACGTAATATTCGTATTTTTCAATTTTACTGCCTTTCTTTTCATCTCTTCTGCCTATGTTGCCATTCTGAGACATGTCTATCAATCGAGGAAGCAATCTGGGAGAGAAGAGACACATAGGGATGTGCAGTTATTAAAAAGGGTCTCTCTGATTTTGATAACCGACTTTTTGTGCTGGGTCCCAGTTACGGTGCTTGGGATTTTGAGCATGGCAGGCGTCCCAATTAATCCTGAGGTCTCAAGTTGGGTCGCAGTCTTTATCTTACCTGTCAACTCCGCCATGAACCCGATATTATACACTCTTGCCAATATCAAGATATGTGGGAAACTAAAGAAGAAAAAACGAGAAACCCAGATACAAACCAGGAACACATGCTTGTGAGAACACTATGCGAGTCATTCCGAAGAATATGCTCACCTGATTCACTTGATAATATATACCATCTTTCCGGACTGTAGCCTCGATTGTGATACGATAACGCACAGTGAATGCCTATCCCGGGAAGTTGATTTGGGTTTGCTGAAATCATAATGGAAAAAGGAATCACAATTCATCAGCCATCATGTACGATACATGGTGTATCAAGTGAGCAGATTCAGCAATTAAATTTATTTTCACGAATGAACATCCCCCCCCCCCCCAAAAAAAAAAAAAAAAAATCAGTGGAACCGTATTGTGTTAGAAAAGATTGTGTCGAATTTAAAACGTTACCATCAGGTTATTATTGTGCAAACTTGTCCTCTTGTAAAACAAAAGAAAAATATGTTATTCTTTTACTTTTACTTTTACGGTGGTCTCTGTGTCTGGATCATTTGTTCCTGGCATAAAATTCAGTCTTTGATTCTTTTCGGTCGGAACTGTGTATTTAGTTTCCATCTTATATTATTCTTTTGTGTATTTTCATCATTGTATAAAAGATCTTAGTGGCCTAGCACTACTACAAGTGCCGCCACTGAGGTATTACTGTTGAAGAACACAGCTATTCCTCTATCCTCAAGGTAACTTCTATGTATATATATATATCCAGTAGATGAGTCCCAGTTCGAACGTGACACGGTATCTCTTCTCGAACACTTGTAAGCTAAACTCTATTTCCGTGATCACAAATCAAAAATCGGGAATTAATCTAGGGCTATTTTGATGAGTAATGGCCCGTTATTACGAATTGATACCACTAATTAATTCTTAAAGCTTGATATTGTACGAGTATGTATTAATAAAATCATTTTGCTATTAAATGCAGTCAGCCAAACAGTAATTCTTTGTTATCTCATTGCTAGCTTTCACGTTTTTGACGTTCGATTATACAGCCGTCAATCAAGTGAATTTGATTGACAGAATATAAAATTTCAAACTTTATGTACGGTTGGCCAGCTATACTCCATGTATCGCTTGGTTTTGATCTTTTTTATTGTTCTAAAGGCTCTCAGAGGTTTTTCATATGCGTCATCCTTCCTTGTTTAACAAAACGATTTTTTTCAAACCATAAAAGGTTACTTTATCTCTGACATTTGCCACGAGCGCCGTGCGATGAAATCGTATACTATTTTAGTCGCTGAGGCGTATAATATAGCATGTTTTCCCGTAAAACTCCGTCCAGTCCAGACGGCCAAGTCTTTTTGAAATCCTTTGGCGAAATATGAGAATTGGCTTCTCCACTCGGTCGTTAACGATCATAAAAAATGCAGTTCTCTATAAGTTGCCTTGGAGAAACAGTAAAATCTCAGCCTGTGCGGCAACATTAACACCAGCCAGACAGGGAGATATCCATGCGCCCCTTACACTCCACTCTCCCTGACCACTCAAACAATCAGTGAAACTGAGAAAGTAAGTATTCTTGACACTTTTTTCTTGACAGATCCAAAGATTTAGTTTGAATCGGGAGGTGTGTCCCCAGTGTTGAAAGGCATGCAAATATTCAGCGGTTTTTTTTAAACCACGTAAACGTTGTGACGTTCTGCCCAAAGCCACACCGTTAGCAGAGAATGACCCGAAGCAATGCACTCGTTTTGCTGTATGTAATGATCACAAATAAACCCTACACACATGTAATTCCAAGTGCGGCGGAATTAAAGAAAACAACGACATTATGAACATAAAGCAACTCATTTACTGATCGTATCACAACATGTAACATCCGTACAGATAATATCACTACATCTATCAGTGCTCTTTTCCGTGTAAAATATCTTCCTTATCCTACCTATTTAACATTATGCGTGCACTATTTGTTTGGAAATTATATGTTAAATGTAGATATTTCAGGCTTACGCATAAGTTAAACTCATTAATCAACACTATTCAATGTTCATCACTTATCCGCTTCATTTCTTTTTATTAATGGGACCTTCATCAGCCAAATTTCGAACATCATGCTTGAGTTTGTTCTATTCCTTTAACTGACATGTCTTATTGCTTAAATTTGCTTAGATTAAGGAGACACACTTTATACATGTGTGTGAAGATCAAACGTGAAGTGATGACATTGAGTTACTATTATATAAGAAAATCCGTGTATCTAGTGTCTAAAATATGCATTAAAAATAATGAAGAAAAAAGTTAAAAGAAGCCTACACACTTATTGGACTTATATTGCCTATAAATAATGCTATTTGTTTAAAAAATCAACAAATGCAAAAAAAAAAAAAAAAAAAAAAACATTGAAATATTGATAAATCACATTTCTATAGAAATGGACATGGTGTAGATGAGGACGGATATGCACATAAAAATAGTGCTTTAAGTTGATAAACAAAATATAAATGCATATATCAAGTATAAAGTCCAGTTGTTAGTGACATTAATTGGACGGAATAAAAGCAGTCAAACAGTGACAATACTGTAACATGTATAAGTTAAATACATTAAAACAATGACTGTATTGCATAAATTCAAGAAAAATAGTTTAGTCTTATTTTCTTTGGGAAAGTCATACATCTTATACAGGTACATAACACAGCAAAGAGAGAGTTGAAAAAATCTGTAAATGACATTGTTCAAAAGTTCTTATATCACAGCTATATATAAATTGAAATTAATAAATATCACTGTTTTTGGAAAATCTTAATAAATATGGAATGTTCAATCATAAAGCATTTGCCTCTATCTAAAAATAAAAAGCTTTCAACATGCGTATATTTACCCTCAGATGAATGTTCCCTATAAGTACTCTAAAACAGAGATCAACCAAGACACATCGAGTAGTTCTAGTCCTAAATGGTACTGCCAAATACTACTATCAAATTGTGAACATAATATATATCACCTCGTAAATATATTTATCGGTGATGGAAAGAGATCAGCCTTAAAAAAAGGAGGAAAACTCTCACCCTCCAGAAACGTTCCCTTTCTTAAAATTTTATTCAGACTCCAGCAGCTTTCAAATTTCTTGTTTGAATAATGAGGTGATTCTCTAGAGGGAGGGAACTTTCTATCCCTGATTTGTGGTTGAAAATTACAATCAAGCAGAAATATCACAACATTAATTGCATAAGCACACTTGTAAAATCAAAATTTTGGGAATAATGAATAGTTCAACATCAGAACCTCTTGCTTAAATAATTATACTTCCACAAAGTCACATCCTCATATGACACTGACAAAATCAGCCAGGCAACAACTGTTGTTGACTTTGAGGATTATATAATTACATTATCACACACGCTTTGCTCTTCTTCTCCCCATTTCCTTCACTTTGTGCCTGGGCAGGTGCCTGAGCAGGTGCCTGACCATTACTCTCCTGGGCCACAGAATTGTTCTTCTTGGCCTTGGCATATGATCCAGCAACTCTGGCAGCAGCTTGTGTAGCTTTCATCTTTCTGGTAGATTTTTTCTTTTCCAATTTCTTTGGTGAGGCGGGACCATTGATGGTCACATGCTCTGCAATTCTAGGAGCTAGAAGTACAGAAAGTCAAAATTAGATCAATTTTGGCTTCTAAAGAATATTTCTTGATACACATTCATTGCTTTATTTCAGGGATGACTGATTACAATTCCCATAGCATGAAGGTTTAGGTGCCACTCATATCAATGGGTCTGTAACTGCATAATAAATGTTGAAACACATGAGTATGTTCAGAATCGAGGTAATACTCCTGATATTAGTGAACAGAGAAGAAGTATTATATAAAATATCCCCTACTACCACAAGAAAGTTTTATTGCTGAATTGATCATATCTGATATATTTAAGTCAGTAGAGTGTCTGCTTGATACAGTCATTAACTATAAAGTATAGATTGAAAGGATCTATTAGAAAGTCTTTACTTCAGTATATCTATACTGTAAATCCTCTCTAGGCATTTGGACTATTGTGTGTCATATGTAATGAAAAACACAAAGTAAGGCTAATTTAAACAAGGCAGCAAAGCTGTCAAATGTACAGACAAAAAACAGAAAATAATGAAGNATGTACAGACACATCTGTGTCTGTACATAAAAATGATTAAGCAATGTCAATGCATCAAATGGATGTTGTTTACCTTGCAGGTCTTGGGCAGTGATTTTCAGGGCGCTGGCTGCATCCTGCCCCTGGGTCTGTCTGGCCTGTACAGTTTGCTCATATTTAGAATCCGCTGAAATTAGACCACTTAGACGTTCTATACATATTTTCTTTACTTTTTTTAAGCTAAACTGTAAATTAAACTGCAGTTAAACTGCAAATATGTTTGTGACTTTGATACATGTAGTATACTGTCAAGATGCAGAGGATTGCCTATAAAATTAATTACTGAATCATGTTAAAATAACATTAATTGTAAACTTCATGAAAGGACAACAAAGCAGATCTCCTTGTAAGGCAAATATAATTAAGGTGCTCTTCCTTCTAACTTTTTTTTTTATAATTTTCTTTAAGAACACTAAAATATTGTTGTAATTGTATCATTTTGGCATGGTAGAGTGCATCAATTTTCAAATCACCTTTGATGAGCTGCATTGTTTCTTCATCACATTTCGAGTACGGCAACACAGCATCTTTGGCTGTGGCCAGGTCGCTGTTCAAGATAGTTATACGAGGTCCATCTGCGTGCTTGGGACACAACCAGCGGATTTTACCACTGGGCAGCAAACATCTAAAACAATACATGATATTAATTAAGAAGTAGAATTATCCTATGTGAGGATACACTTTATGGAAAATGTAATTATACATTTCTTAAAATGTATATATGTTAAATCATATGACATATGATCATTACTGAATCATTACTGCATGATCATATGTCAAAAGAATATTGATATGATAACTGATCTTAATTTAATGACTTGTTTGCATAAGCACTTCAATCACCAAAGCTGTACATAATTTGTGATTACTTTAAGTAAAATATAACAATAATAATTTACAGTACTCCTCCCCCCACAGAACACCCAGAGAATTCAGAGCATTTTCTCCTACAGCTGTTCACTATTATCTGCAGTCCCAACCTTTTCAAATGTCCTCTAACTTTATGCACATCATTCTTCATCACCTCTTCACGGAAATGTTTGAAGGCCTTGGCAAAGCCAGAAGTGTCTGTTCCTTTCTGTAATTATACAGATAAATAACAGACACATTTAAATTTATTACTCATACTACTAGTATATGATACAAAACTTACAATGTGAAAAAAATCTAATGCCATTACATGTAAGTCATCAGAATCATGTCTGAATGAATAAATTAAATTCTAATCTTTAAGGGAGATTTGGGAAGAGTGATACAGCTTTGTCAAACCACATAGGTCATAATTCAAACATCTTCTGTCTGTCCATGGTTAAAAATCTCAGAAATGGTTTCATTTTTATATGATCAACATTTCCTATTCTCCATATGTGGATCTACCTGGTTTAGTAATAGTGGAAAAGGAAATCCTCAGCCAAAAAAACTGCTAAAAGACTCGAGGAACTTCAAAAATGTGTACATTGAAAAATTTACAACTGTAGAGCAAGGTAGAACAAGTAACAATATCTGTGCAATAGTGAATCATACTAATTCAGGGAAGGGAAAACTCCACATTAGAGGGACCTCCGTGATGCTTGACCACAATGATCGTAGGACAGGCAGGCAGTGACAATGACGGTAGGACAGGCAGGCAGAGTGACAACGATAGCAGTACGGGCAGGCAGAGCGACAATGATAACAGGACAGGCAGGAAGAAGAGTAACAACGGAATACAAACAAGGACTTCCAATCAGGATAAACATGCAATTCTGTCATCCATAATAATAGAACAAGAGTTGGAAATTATAGGATTAGCGGAGACACATTTGTGCTCCAGTAACTGTGACAAGATCGATATCAATGGCTATATTTGGTTAGGCCAGAATAGGCCAATGCACAACAGGGCTAGGTCTGGCTCTGGAGGGGTAGGATTTTTAATTATCAAGAAACTTATAAATGATTTTAATGTTACTGTACTAGATTACTCTTCTGATGGCATCCTTTGGATACAAGCAAGTGCCTACCAGCTCAATGTCTCTGACAAACTCCAGTGCCTCGTCCGAGCCCCCCATACAGGTCAGGTTGACCCCACTGTGTTTGAGAACGGCATTCATTCTGGCCAGATAGGCTGCCGAGTCCGCTATAAACTTCTCCTGGTCTTTCAGCTTCAGGAGGATAGGTGGCCCACTCAAGTGCCAGCCCTGAAAATTAGACAAAAATTTTAAATTAATTTGAACTATGAAGGTGGACTTTTCAATCTTATTGTGTATGTTAGACATAAAGTAACCTACACAATAAATTTCATTATAATCCCATCATTTAGAAGATATTTTGTACAATAGTGTCCTTTATCATTTAAATGTATAGTCTTATATACAAAGAAACCATAATACTACTGTGACAGTTCAAAGTTAAGTTTTCGAACAAAATATCATGGTATTTAAATTATACCTTTATTCATACTTTCACACTAGACTGAGCTGGTGAAAGTGTAGTGATAAATACCCTATTTGATTCAGTTACAGAAATCTACAAATTATACTCAACTTTTTGCTGCATAAAATTACACCAAAGGGGGAGGGGAAAAAAGCAGACTTATGATTTTATTGTATTGGAACTTATTCTGGAAAAATGTAAATAAATAAATCCCATGTCTTTACCTGTTCATATTCACAGAGAATCTTGCATACCAACTTGCGGTGCTGACCAGTTTGATCATCGGGATCACTGACAGGTGGCTGAAGATTGACCATACTCTTCTTGATGGCCTCAGCATGACCTTAAATTCCAACAACATAATTTAGAAACTTGTAATCAATAAGTGAAGAAAATGAAATAAATTATGTCCCCTTAATATAAAATGTTCACAAATACATAATATATAATTATCTTTTGAAAAGAATTAAAGTATCCTGCTAGAAACATTGGAGTTTTTGGGAGGTTAATTATCTAATTAACAAGTTTTTAATCATCACAATCACTTGGCATTAAAGAATTTTTATCACCACACATCATAAAATTCCTCATCATCTCTCTTTCTTTTCAGTTAACTCACTGTACCACATGCAATAAAAGAAGCAAATCAAGGCAAATTCATAAAAAAAAAAAAACAGAAAAAAAGTTTCAAAATTTAAAAAAAATAAGTGTACTGAGTACAAAACTGTACCTTCCAGGTCCACGTAATCCAGTACGCACAGTTTTGGGTACGGCATGATATCAAGATTGATGGCATGGTGGACTTCAATAAACCTCATCAGTTTTCTCTGGATGAGCTCAAACTCCTCCTAAGAAAGTAGATATAATGACGATTGTTGATGATGATGATGATGATCATTTCCAGAAACACAGGACAGAGGTCAAGGTCTCATTTCAAAGAAGAAGGAAATAATGAAGTTAGTCTCAACTTTACAACTGAAAAATGCAGTCTAATTTGACACATAATCAACCAGTAGAAAGTACATTGAGCAGATTGAACAATGAGTAAGAAATGGCTCAAATATTAGACAGACAGGCACTACAATTAAGATCTATCCTGGATTAAAGCATCCTAAAAATAGTCAGACTCAGTCTAAAAACATGGAGCAACTTCTGAGTACTAAGTGGTTTTTTAAAGCAAGGCTCAGGGGGTATATACATGTACAGGTAAAAGATGTAAAGTAAGATCTAGAAATACCTGTTACAGAAGGAAAAAAGGCTACAGCTAGTAGTGTCTGTTGAGAGGAAAATGAGAAGTAAAACAGTTGCTAGTGGCTCCACCTTGGGAGAATATCAAAAACTATCATACTTATTTTTTTAAACAAATTTTAATTTTAATTCATTTTAATTTTAATTAATCTTAAAAGATCAATAGATTAACTCATAAAAAAATATATATTTTGTTTATCAACATATAATTCATTATCTTTAAAAAAGATCCAAGTGCTGTGTAATTTTGATTCCATAAGAATAAGAATTTTATCCCCTGTTATGGATACAGTCACTGCAGTGCATATACTGGGGCCATTTCATGTGAAAGTGGCATTTCATAAACATTTCAAACTTCAAAATTGTAAAATGAAACATTTAATCAGGTTTCAAACCAACCCCAAAATGTTGCAATTTTATCACCTGGAAAGAGACAATTTTCTCTTGTTTCTGTCGTTTCTCCGCTGCTGGCGTGTGATCTGCAGCTTCCGCAGGTTGGGCCTTGACAGCTTCTTTCTTTTCCATTTCCTCCTTCACCTGAGCAATTCTGTCTTGTATTTTCTTCAGGAACATGGGTGGATATTCCTTCAGATTCTGCTGAAAGTTGAACTTGGGGGGAAGAGTATTCTTCTTACTTGTGTCAGAGGCCCGTCCACGCATTAGAAGGATGCTGACCTAAGATATCAAACAGATCAACTTTAAATACCCTCCCTAAATACTGCGCACATGTCCCATCAAAGTATGTATGTTGCCAAAATCTATATGTCTCAGACATTGTGTATCTTACTGATAAATAAAAGTCAAGAATGTTGTCTTAAAAAGCAATAGAGAAGTAGGTAACATATACAAAGCATGATAAATAAGGATTGTTATGCAAAGGAATTAAATTCAACTTAGAGAAAACCATAAAAAAACAGCCATGGAGAAAAAACTACTTATAAAAATGTTAAAATTAGACTTTACAAACCTCACTGGTTTCCCATTCGCTCTTAGTTCCCACCACACACGCCACCAGAGGCTTGCGTAAGTTCAGCATGGCAAATCGTAGCTCCATCATGCAGTTAGGTGAGTTGGCATACTAAAATAGAAATGAGTTCTATTCAATATAAATATATGGGGGTGGGGGTAGAAAGCAGATCTAAGCTTCAACAAGCATTATGGGGAGTTTGCTCGCTGAAATAAATAAATTACATCCTAGGTTCTACATCCTACAAAGCAGTCTAAACAAATGCAGTATATTAGGTACATGCAGATCACTGAACGTTTTCATTTTATTACCTCCACCAAGGAGGTTATGTTTTCACCCCTGTTTGTCTGTGTCTTTCTGTCTGTCTTTCATCAACATAACTCAAAAAGTTATGGACTGATTTTGATGAAATTTTCAGGAACTGTCAGAAGTGGGCCAAGGAACAGATGATTAGTTTTTGGTGGTGATCCGGATCAATAACCAATCAATAATCAATAATCATGTCTGTCATCAACATAACTCAAAAAGTTATGGACAAATTTTGATGAAATTTTCAGGAACTGTCAGAAGTGGGCCAAGGAACATATGATTAGTTTTTGGTGGTGATCTGGATCAATAATCAATCAATAATCAATAATCAAAATATCAAAAATTTAGGGGTGAAACGGCATTGGATAGAGACTTTGCTGCCTTGGCGGAGGTCTGCGCTCTCTGAGTGCTTTTCTAGTTATTGAATACTACCTACCTCATCTGAGACACATGCCACAACCACCTTGGCCTTTTTCAACCCTTCACTGATGTCTTCAAACAAACCAGTCTGAAAGAGCAGGCATTACAAGAGCAGTTAAAAAAGAGAGGACACATCAATTGCTTAGTTTAACCTCTTACTTTAAGTTTCAGGCATTAAAAAGACAATGCTACTAGTACCCCCTGTGATATGAACATTGTCACTTGCAATTGCCAAATGCCAGTTAAATTGAAGTCCCCCTAAAACTGGGTGTATACTTAGTTACTGGTAACAGTTTTTGCTCTGGGTCCATAGATCTCACCATGTAAAACCCTGGTGACTTGTAAGACCAATGGTCTAAATGGTGTTTGACACAGGCTGTTAGTAGTCTACATAAACCAAGGAGACCTTGAAGTGGCATCAAATTGTACGGTTGAGTATGTTACAACATTGACCATAAAATTAATTCTCCTATAAAGTTTATTTACATTCAACGACATAAAATTATCAAGGTGACAGTCAAATTTGGGTAAAATAGCATATGGAAATATCAGTCAAGTTTGGATAAAATAACATAAGAAAATATCGTAATATAGTAAAGATTTTCTATATTTACCTTTCCAGCTTGCTCAATATCAAGCCAGCACCTCACTCCCTGGGATTCCAGGTAGCTTCTAATTTCACGGGGGTCTCCCTTTTCCCATCCAAGGGCTCCATCCTTTTCGGCGGTGCCTTTCTTCACAGCATCGTGAGAATTGGACCAGCAGTAACTAATGAATACGTCCACAGCATCTTGCTCTTTCTACAATAACAGTTACAAAAACCAGTAAAGATTCCTGTGACAGTCTTAAAATTATATTTTGATCTTCTCCTTTGTAATATCATGATACCGACTTCTTTTTTAATACTAATTTCTCATCCATATATGTAAGAAAGAGTGCAAGAAGTACCAGTGATTGATTCTCTCTTGTATACCTAACTATCTGTAACTTTAAGAAAATACCAGTATATAAATATAAATAAGTTAAATTATCCCTCTTTTAACAAAAATACCACAATCCAAAAATAAAATAGAGGAGGTATAGAAAAATTATGGTAATGGGTACTGGTAATCTAACCATACCCATCCACTAATCATCAGAGGTTTAGCAAACTTGCTATATGTACTGGTAGGTTACCCATACCCATGTATGTTGGAGTGGATTGGCACTTTAAACACAGGAAAAAAATTGTCTTCCAAATTGACTAGGTTTCATCCAATAAAATCAACAAATCAAAGATGCCTTTATAAAAATGGCTACATAAAGCACATTGGACATGCTTTCTGTCACAGAAAATGATGACGAATTATGACCTTCAATGATGAAAATTGTTTGACACAAAAATTTTAATCACACAAATATCAATAATTTTCAAGCATCTTCCTCACCTTCTCTTCTTCTTCCAGTTTTGACTTCAACTTCTCCTTCAGTTCATCTAGCTTTGTATCATAAACATCCTCCTTTGACAAGTCAACAAAGATCTAACAAATACAAAATACTTGGTTTAGCAACTTCCCTATTTTAAATAATATTTTCCAAAATGAATAGATATAATTTTACTCCTACCCAATACCCATTATTTATGCACAAATAAAATGTAAATCACAGCAATTTTTAAGGTCCAGCAAGCATAATGTGATGTAATGCACCATAAACAATAGAAACATTGTGCCACAATTTTAGCATGAAAGATTCCAATGCTTCTTTATTCCATATGCACTTTTAAGTTTCAAATAGTAAAATGCATTATTCTTTTCCATGTGCAGTATTTTTAAAGCTCTTAAGAATATTAGCAGTGTTTAAACTTAAAACTTAATTCTATTCACACATAAAGCATTTAATTGCGTGACTGTATTATTGCATTGCCCTTAAATTTTTTGTTATCAACTGAAATTCACTGGGTTACAATCTCATCAATAAATTATTATTATTATTATTATTATTATTATTGTTAATTACTCTTACTTCTTGGAGTCCAATATTCATGCCCAGTTCACTTTTTGTCCAATCAAAACTTTTGGTAATGGTGACTATGACATACGGTTTCTTCAGCTTCTGGCTGGCATACTGAAAGAGCTCCTTACATTTCTCATCTTCTGCATACTCCTTGGACACCATTGCCAATAGAAGCTGCAAAATAAAATACAAAGGATTAAAATAGTTCAATTTTCATCATGGCAACAATAATATTATGACTCCATTACTTTATTTTTGAGATATATTTAGAAATGTAATCAATAACTCTTCAATTGAAAGCTGGTGATGAAATACATGTCTTCCCTCGTGCATGCACTTAAACAAACTTTTAAGAAATAAAAAAACAAACACAATTATATGTTTTCATCAGAGGAATAAATTACTGCAATACCATTTGAACAATAAATTTAATTTATCCAAGATAAAGACACCATATGCTGTGGAATAACTTACCTTTGAATCTTTGAGAGGAACAATGAAGTCGCTCAATGTCTTAGTCCCAATATCTTCATCAAACCAACTAAAATTATACAACAACTGCCAATAATAATGCACTGGATATGCTTCAAAACTGTCTATGCCTTTGGCAATTATTTTAATATATCTACTGTACTGTGAAATTTTAATTCCTTCAATATCCATCTGACTTGTAAATTGGCAAAAATATTAATTTATAAGCTTCTTTGTGTCTAGGAATTATATTTTTTACCAAAGAAACATACATCACTCTGGAAAAACCCATTATTAAAATGGTTTGTTCAAGGAAGGATAAAACATTAACAACTAGTAGAAACAATTAGGTCAGTGCCATGTTGTAATGATGTCTCGTTGACCTATATCCTATAATATTGTTCATGTGACAACTATAAAGTAAACTCAATGTACCAGGTGTAGCCCATGTTGTTGATATCTTGAACCACTTTAATGGGATCTGCGGCATTCTCAGTCAGGTTAGCTGCACAGTAGGATACCAAGATGTCGGTGGAGTTGTTCTTTCTCATGTCACGTAACTTCCTGATAGAATTCTCCAGCTGCATGTCCAGGTCACTCTTGCTGTCGGGCGGCATTATGGCTGGAGTCATGAAAAAATGGCAGTGGTGTTTTATTCAAGGTACCTTGCACACACACACACACACACACACACACACACACACACACACACATGCTCACACGCACATGCAAACACACACACACACAATAATAACCATATCATGATAAAGGTTTTGTTCAGTCTTTGTCTTAATCTTGTAACAAACTAAGGCTGTCTAGGACAACTGTTGGCAGATGATCTGATTATTTTAGCCAGCTGATTGTTTAAATGCTTAAAAATTAGTTTGATATTCATTTCTGAAAAAACAAAATTAATTTTCCAACCAATTAAGTTAATTTTGCCAACAACATTTACAAAAATACAAAACAATACTAAATCTATCAAATGTAAGGAAAATATATGGCTTAATGAAAACAACAAATAAGGCCCTAGCATTTCCGTATGAAGATTTGCTATTAATGGCTATCATACCTTCCAGTTCATTGAGGGAGATGCTGTGGAAGAACCTGTGACACTGCAGGAAAGCTCCAGCATGGTTAGACGCTTGGCGGATCAAGTTGTTGGGGAACAGAAACGGATCATGTGTTCGCTACAATATAAAGTATATGCATTTTGTTACCTCTCTTTTTCATGCTCCAAGTTCTTTATTTTTTTAAATTATATGCAGGCTTGATGGATGTGTGCATATTAACCTTCGTTCAGGTTGCTTTTACATAGCTGTAAACTGAGATACAATAATAGAAAAAATAAGATTATCTTGCTCAGACATCAATGCCCACATTACCTGTTTGTTCACACAGTCAGGGCACTGGACAAGGTAGGTGTAGGTGACCCCATGGTAGGCCTCGGCTATCAAACCTTCAAACACCTCGTGAATCAACAGCAACACATTCTCTGGCTCTGGACCTTGAACCTTCACTGACAGTTCATTCTCTCTGGATTATTTTAAAAATACAATAAAATGTTAGACCACCACCTTGTCAACTATTAGACTAAGTGAACTTTCAACATGTTTAGACTTATATCTTGAAAATGTCTGAAAACTGTTTGGTGTATTGAAATGCTACAGTAACTTTATTATAATGGAATGAAGAAAGCTAAATGTTATGTCTGCAGGGATTACCTTGTCTGCTTTATGAGAGCAATATGGGCATTCTTCTTCAGGAATGATCCTTCCTTCCAAATTGCCTTGCCGTCTGTGAACTGGAACAGTCTCACCTGTTGTGACATAATTGTGAAAATAAACTGATAACAAAAGTTTTAACTTAAAAGAATTAGACCATGTTTGTCATATAGTCACAGTAAAATTAAAATGTTATTAACATGTTTTCGCAAATGTTACAGAATTTCAAAAACAGTATAAGAAAACATTTCTAAAGCTTTTTAAAAATGTTTTTCCACAATGTTATTTGAAAACATTTCAAAAATGTTTTTCCAAAATGATATTTGAAAACATTTTCAAAATGTTTTTTTCTAAAATGTTACTTAAAAATTTTTGTAATGTTTTTCTAAAATGTAATTTGAAAACATCTTTAAAATATTTTTGTAAAACGTTATTTGAAAACATTTTGAAAATGTTTTTCTAAAACATTATCCGAAAACATTAAAAAAATGTTTATCTAAAACATTATTCGGAACATTTTTTAAATGTTTCTCTAAAACGTGACTTCGAAAATATTTCTGTAACTTTTTAAAATGTTTTTCTACAATGTTATATGAAAACACTTAAAAATTTCTATCTAAAATGTTATTCGAAAGCATTTTAAAAATGGTTTTCTAAAACATTATATGAAAATATTTTTAAAATGTTTATCTAAAATGTTATATAAACAAGGCAGCAAAGCTGTCAAATGTACAGACAAAAAGCAGGAAATAACTATGCACAAAATAGGCTACTGTCAATTCTGATGCAAAAGTACATTATGTTGAACTGCAAATTCAACATCAAATTTTAATTATGCTCAACAGGTAATACCAATGTAAGTAAAATGTGTAACAAGCATAAGGCTTCAGGCCCATGGGAGTTCAAGTTCGCACTTTGAAAATGTATAACTTCCAGAAAAAGAAGCCAATTAGACTGTTTTTCCAACTCAGGCTGCATTTTAGTCCTGTATTTCTTTTTTGAAAGTTTGGCAATCATAAGTAACATGGTTTTCCCATAATGGTCATCATGGCAGCAGCACCCAAAATTGTGTTTTCTTCTATTCTGATGCAATATTACATAATGGTTAACAGCATAATGACCGTCAATTTTTAATAATTAAATATACGTATCATGTATTTTCAGAAAATGTGACTAGCATGGGTATTCAAGCCCGTGGAACTTCAAAGTCACACCTTGAAAATGCCAATATGTGAAAAATTAAAGTTTCACAAAAAAACTGTTTAACTGGCAGTAAGAATTACCAAACAGATTGCATTGCCTACTGAAGCTGTATTTTAGTCCCAGGTTTCTTTCCTGTAAGTTTAAGAACAGTAAGTGACATGGTTTTTCTGGAATGGTCATCATGGGAGCAGTGCCCAAAATATGTTTTTTTCAAATTTTGATGCAATATTACATAATGTTTAACAGCATAATGACCATCAATTTTTA